ATTTCAGTAGTAGATTATTATGAATTCTGTAATTGGTTTCACAGCTGCCCAGCTGTACACTGTCTCCAGCATAATAACTGTTATTCAGTATCCTTGAGCAGATGTTCAGTTGTCCACAGGGAGATGGTCTCTTTTGCACATGTTATTGTGCAAAGAGAAAAAAGCATGCCATTTGTTTACAAAGGAAAGAAGCTTATACTTGGGTAAAGAATGTGATAAACTGTGTTTTGCTTTACAGAATATTCAGAAAAGATTCTGCTTCCTAACCTGCGATGCAGCTAGTTACTTGGGAGACAACCTGCGAGGAATAGGCTCCAAGTTTGTGAGGTCTTCTCAGATGTTAACATCATGTTCGGAATGTCCCACCCTTTTTGTAGATGCAGAAACAGTGAGTATATTCCTTTCAAAAGGCACGTGTTACTCTGCTGGCTGTTTCACTTTTGGGCAACTCCTGAACAGATGTGTCAAAAAGGTACCACCTGCTATCTCTAATTTTTGTCTCTTGTTCGTAACCAAATTTCCATTAATTTTCCGTATTATTTTATTAGGTAAGTATTGGCAGATGAGCAATATGATGTGTTGAGTCTGTGTGCCAAAACCCAATATAAAACAGGTGCCTATCATCAGACCCAATTGGCTCCACAAATAGAAAAAGAGAAGCTATTTTTTACATAGTTCAGCATGAAAGATGGTAACATGTTTAGTGGTTTCATTTGTGTCAGTTGTGATGTAAGCTGGATGATAAAAATACATATTAGGGAATGAATGAGATGGCCCTTCCCATTGTTTTCATTCTGGCCCATGTTTATCCAACAGCATCAGGACAGTGTGGCCTCACATAGAAGTATAGAGGTAGGAACTTGCAAAGTGTAATCTTGGGCCCACTGCTGTCACCATGGAAGAGCTGTGCCTTACGTCATCAGAGAGGTGTGGAGATTTACTAGTTAAGCTTTGTCCAGTATTTTATTTTAGGGAAGTCCTCTGCAAAGCTGTTAAACACAGAACACAATTTCAATTCCACATTATCATAAGTGCAACTTTTGCTATTCAGTTTTCAGTATAGCATTCTATTTATGTATATTTTTGCATAAATATAAGTATTTTTCAATATTGGTATCTGTAAATCTAAGTATTCTTTCACAAGATCTTTACTTTACTATACTTTCTACTCTGCTAATATTTTTATTCTTTTATAGTGACATTTACCAGCCCTTTTGATTTCATTTCTCCAGCTGCTCTCTTGTGGCCTTCTTGAAAAGCTGAAGTTCAGTGTTTTAGAACTGCAGGAGTACCTGGACACATACAATAACAGGAAAGAAGCAACACTCTCGGTATGCTGGATTATGTTATGTTCTTGATTTTGTATGTGTGTATACTTAAGCTGTGTCAGGAGACTGCAGATACACTCAGATCTGTTTAAACCAATATTCAGTAGAAAAACATGTTTCAGATACTGGATTCACTAAATGTTCTTCCTGAACATATGAACCAGAACCAAAAAAATAGCGATTGTATCCCTTAATTTTAGAAACATTGGCATCTTTAATATTCCTGGTCTCTCCTTTCTGCTATTCAGTAACAAATTCATTTTCTTGTTTTATTCAAATACTAATAGAAATCAAGACTACACTTTTTAAATTACAGGCAAAGCAAATCGTCATAGTCTGTGTGAATAAAAAGTGCAATTGCAAAATTCTGTTTGTTTACATCTTGTGCTGTGAAACTAAAATACTGCTTACCTTTCTGCAAATCAAACTATAGGCCTCATTCATATCTTCTTTTAATTTCTTTCTGAAAACAGTGGCTTGCAAATTGCAAAGCAACATTTGCTGGGGGCTCACGAGATGGAGTTATTACCTGCCAGCCAGGGGACTCAGAAGAGAAGGTAATGAATGAGCAGTATTATTTCTCTCCTGTAAAGTGACATGTGTGATGTATCTTGTCCTTGGACCCACAAGAGCCTGGTGTACTTCCTCCTTGTTTCTCTGCTGGGCTTGGGCATAATCCAGTTTTCACACTTAAGGCTCAAAGGTATTGTTGTTGCCTCAGTCCTGGCCACAGGAAATGGGAAGTATTCAGAGGCAATACTTCTGCCTTCTTAGTCTAGCCAAGGAAGCAGAGCTAACCCTGCCTGGGTTGTCTGTGCTCTCCCTTTTGAAGGATGTTGCAGCAGCAGTTTCCCACAGTGCAGTGTCTCTGCAAATCACTCCTGGTGTAGTGTGCTTCCACGTTACACCCATTTTATCCACGGCTGTTACAGACTTGGTCTGCCCAATAGCAAGACTTGCCTGGTTGAAATCCACTTAGACTAACAGTTATGAAATAATGATTGTAAAATGGCCAGTGAAGTAATTTATTCTGTAGATAAGTATTTATACCTAAGGCAAAATATCTCTTTATCACTTTTGAACAAAAGTTTTACACATGCACACACACACATATATATACACACATACATAAATATATATATATATTTAGTGTGTTGATTCCAGTTAAGAAATCCATCTTTTCAGAAATCAGCA